CCCCGGGTCTGGGGGAGCTGCGGACCCTTCCCCGCGGCTCAGGGAGATGCGTCTGTAGCCCCGGGTTCGCGGGGCGCGGGACCCAGCTTCCTCCAGGGCGCTGGTCCCGGCGGAGCTGCTTCGGCCGCGTCTTCCCGAGGCGCGGGGCGCCCCGAGCGGGGTCAGGGGACCGGGCTGCGGCCACCTGCACGGGCTTCCCCCGCCGGAGGGAAGTGAGGAGTCCCCCACCTCCCGTAGTTGCTCCGGGGTGTCACCGAGGGACACGCTGTGGCTAAAGAAAGTTTCCTCTCGGAAAAATACCCTTTTCGTCGCTACGAGAGCACAGCAGGAAATGATGCCCTGCAGAGCAGTTTGTTAAATGACTGTATTAGTGGGACATTCCTGTCATTTGAAGACCTTTTAAACAAAATTGTCAGCCTTGTGTCTTGCTTCCCCCGTAGAGCGAGGCCGTTGTGGCCGGTTGAGTGCGTATTGCAGCCGGTCCCGGCCCCACCGAGCCCCAGCCCCTCCTGAGGAGGTGAGGCCGAGGGCGGGGCTATGTAGGAAGGTGGTGATCGCTCTGCTTAGGGGGCAGAGAACCTACTAACTCCCCTGTCTGGTGCTAAGGCTTAGCGGGCCTCTCCTCCCTCAGAGGAAGGCGGTTGGACAAGACCTTTGTTAGTGATTTTAATGCTTTGAAAGAGCCAGCGAGTTAGAAGTACCAGGAGTTATTCTGGCTGATGCAGCTTTCATTTCTAAGATGCCCCAAAGTGAGTCCTTGCTCTGCATGTTCCAAGAATGTCAGGAACCACAGTGTCTTTTTATACCTTGACAAACATGTTTTAAGTCAACATAACTTTCCTAATTCTGAAATGTAAACCATTGACTTGTTCAGATAGGAAGGTACGATCTGTCTGAAACCAGGAGTTTCTACAGTTTGGTGGTTGTCCGGAAATGGGCTGCAGGGAGGCACTTGGTGTCTTTTTTAAAATGAGGGTAGATGTGGTGAAAGTATCAACGTTTCCCTCTTAATTCTGTTCAGAAACTGGATTTCTGGTTAGAGTTCTAGCTGACCTCTTTGATAGTAAGATAATTAAGTATAGATGGCCATAGTATACTACCCAGAGCATGACTCTCTTAGAGTAAAAATAAAATTTTGGTCAGACACGGGAGGGGGTATGCAGCCTGCTGTGTGAGCACTTGGGGTGGGGGAATAAAAACAGAGAACATTGGATTTTCATGAAAGCAAATCAGAGAATATTTTCTTCTAAGGCTGAAATGTGTCGTTTTGTCTTTTCACCGTTAATGGGCAATATTAACTACACCTTTGGTTCCTGCGACCTGTTGGGAGGGGAAATCAACCACCTCTTGTTTGGTGGCAACCACAGTGACGCAGCCCTTCCCACGCTTCGTCTCCCTGCTTACCCCTCTGATCGTCCTGAAAATCTCCTTCGCACCAATTCCAAAGTTTCAGATGTGACCTGCAGTCTCTACGAATAACGTTATCCTGATAGAGCTCTGTTGAGATGCAGAGGCTGTGGTCCTTAGGTGAGGCGTGTAGGCGTCTGGGCTAGCGTGTGGGCATTGAGAATGGTCTGTGAGGAGATATGTACATCCTTTAATTAAATCAAGGACCACGAAATGGAGGGCTCCAATACTGAAAGATGATTAGGATCAAAGAGCTTTATTACTGCCAGATTAGTACCAACACCATACAGTGTATGATGTTAGTAAGCTGTTTTCCTGCTCAGTAAAAAAAATATTTTATTAGATTTTATGTTTGTTTTAGAATTCCTTCACAAAGTGAATTTGTTTTCATAACCATGCCAGAAATATGAAGGTGACTGCTTTTAAATGAGTGTTATTTGGGGAGCACTTTGGAACCGAAGGGTGTTTTATTTTATTCTGTAGAACTGTTGTTTGACTTTCCTCTTCTGGTGGAATTTTTAGTCACTTCCATTTTTTTAAACCTTGACCAGGTGAACAGCGTTCACCCAGAATGTCGATTTCATCTGGAAATACAGGAGGAAGAGACAAAATGTGCAGAGCTTCTAAGAACTCAAACAGAAAAATACAAAGGTAAGGTAGTCACGGGGTGAGTGTGATGGTCCTAGCTAGATAACCTGACGGGCAGATAGTTGATGCCTCACTCTGAACATTGAGGTTTTAAGGTCACCTGCGTCTTCAGGAAAAGGTCTGTTTCCACTGTTTTCTAATGAATGCTGGTAAAACTCCTATGAATATTAGGGGCGGCGGAATCCTTCACACAATAAACCTTTTGAAAGAAAGCCGTAATCCTTAATAGTAACGGTGTCCATCGTTTAATATAATAGCAACAGTTACTGAAATAATTTCATGGGCATTGTTATGCTTTGCAAAAGCAACTCCCATTTCTACGGAATGAGTATCTGATTTCTTTCCTTTAAAAACTGTAGTCACATCACAGATTCTTTCTGTCAAATTAAGAATGGTGGAGGAGCGCATGGGTGGCTCTATCAGTTAAGCATCCGACTCTCGATTTTGGCTCAGGTCATGATGTCATGGTTCATGGAATCAAGTCCTGTGTTGTGCTCCTTGGTGAATGCTGAGTGGGGAGTCTGCTTG